AAGACAGGTGTCTTTAGTCAAAGCTCCTGAAACATAAATCTTCAAAGATTGATGTAAATTGGGTTTCAATTACAACATTCTCACTAGGAATTATTTGAAAATGATAGTCTTAGCTCCTCTGCACATCAAAAGGGCATGTTCTTAATGTATCTGAGTATATACACTGAAAGGATTGTTTAAAAGAAATTAAGATGCAGCCATCCTAAATAAGCTCTCAGTATCATCTGCACTAAGTCCCACCCAAGGGTCTCATTTTCCACTTCCACACAGGTGTTCAGGTTGCTTAACCTGGGTCTTGGTTTCTTATAACACCGGAAAGGGAATAGTTCTGGATAGATTTATGTAGCAAATATATACTTAGTGTATTTGCTGTGTAGGAATCCTAGAAATAAACAAATTGATATTTAGTCCCACCCTTAAGAACCTCAGTCTTTCCATTTACAACAGCATTAAAAATAAAATGGGAGATACATTTAACAAAAATTTACAAGATTACATTAAAAATTTTGAAGTATCACCGAAAAAAATTTTAAAATAATTACATATATGGAAGACATCCCATGTTCATGGAATGGTAGACAATATTGTTAAAAATATTAAGACTCCCCAAAGTGATGTACAAATTCGATGCAATCCCTATGAAAATTCCAGCTGACTTCTTTGCAAAAATTGGAAAACTGATCCAAAAATTCATATGGATGTGCAAGGGACTCAGGTCAGCCAAAACAATCTTGAAAAAGCAGAGCAAAGTTGGAGGACTCACTTTAAAGTTTACTACAAATCTATAGTACTCAAGTCATTATGGTACTGGCATATGTTTGGATACATACATCTATGAGACACAATAAAAAATCGAGGGGGGGGAAACTTACATTTACAGTCAGTTTTCCACAAGGCTGCCAACAACACTCCATTGAAAGTATAGTCTATTCAACGAATGATGCAGGGACACCTGGGTATCTGCAGGCAAAAGAATGAATCTGGAATCTGGAACCCCCTATTGTATATAACAAATAATAATTAATTCAAAATGGATCACAGACAGAAACGTAAGAATTCAACCTATAAACTTTCTAAAAGAAGACATAGTATAAATCTTTGTGGTCCTAGGATAGGCTATGTTTTCCTTGATATAATACAACAGCAGAAGTGATAAAAAAAAGATAAACTGGGCTTTATGAAAATTAAAACCATTTGTTACAAAGGACATCATCAAGAAAGTGAAATGAAAGGGGAAAGGGGTAGCTCAAGTGATAGAGTGCGTGCTTGGCAAAAAAAAAAAAAAAAAGAAAAAATCTAATTACCTCCCCTATAAAGAAATTGTTTTAATGTTTAAAAAAAGTAATGTGAAACGACAATCTGCAGAATAGGAGAAAAATTTTGCAAAGCATATATCTAATAGGAGACTAGTATCCAGGATAAAAAACAAATGCTTACAACTGAACAATACAAAGAAAATCTACCCAATTTTTAAATTTGCCAAGGATTTAAATAGATACACAATTGGCCAATAAGCATATGAAAAGATGCTCAGCATCACTAGCCAAATCAAAATCAAAATGAGATCTCATTTTACACCCACTACGATGGTTAAAATCAAAACATGGACAATAGAAAGTGTCGGTCAGGAGGCAGAGAAATGGAAACCCTCATATGCAGCTGGTGGAAAGGGGCAATGGTGCAGCTTCTTTGGAAAAGTCTGGCGTTTCCTCAAAAGGCTTGAGTTATCATATGGCTAAGCAATTCTACTCCTACATATAGTGTCATCCCTCAGTGTCCTCGGGAGGTTGGTTTCAGGAACCCACCACCCCTGATTCCATAATCCAAGGATGTTCGAGTCTCTTTACAATCAGCCATCTGGATCCATGAAGAGGAAACTACAGAAGTGGTGGGCCAACTGTACAGCCAACAGAATGAAAACATATTCTCACAAAAACTGCACATCTATATTCATAGCAGTATCATTCAGAGTAGCCAAAAGTTACAAACAATATCCATCCATCAATGAATGGATAAAGAAAATTATCAAGAATTGTCCCACAAACTTTTGGTCATTGAATCTTTGACAAAGGAGCTGAGAAAATACAATGGATTAAAGATAGCCTCTTCAGCAAATGGTGTAGGGAAAACTGGACAGCTGCATGTAAATCAATGAAGTTAGACTACTCCCACACAGCATACACAATAATAAACTCAAAATGCCTTAAAGACTTAAACATGTAGATAAGACACTATAAACCTCTTAGAAAAAACGTAGGCAAAACATCTGACATACATCTCAGCAATGTTCTCCTAGAGCAGTCTACTCAAGCAGTAGAAATACAAGCAAAAATATACAAGTGGGATCTAATTAAACTTACAAGCTTTTGCACAGCAAAGGAATTAATAAGCAAAACAAAAAGACAACCTATGGAATGGGAGAAAATATTTGCAATGAATGAGACTGACAAAGGCTTAATTCCCAGAGTATATAAACAGCTTTTACACTTGATAAGAAAGAAAAACAAACAATTCAATCCAAAAATGGGCAGAAGACCTAAACAAGCATTTCTCCAATGAAAACATACAAATGGCCAATAGGCACATGAAAAAAGGCTCAATATCATTATTAGAGAAATGCAAATCAAAACTACAGTCAAGTATCACCTCTCACCAGTCAGAATAGCCATCATTCAGAAGTTCACAAACAATAAATGCTGGAGAGGCTGTGGAGAATAGGGAACCCTCTACACTGTGCTGGGAATGCAGTTTGGTGGAGCCATTGTGGAAAACATTATGGAGATTCCCCAAAAGACAAAAAATTGACTTCCCATATGACACAGCAATCCCACTCCTGGGCATATATCCAGAAAGAACCCTAATTCAAAAAGACACCTGCACCCCAATGTTCACAGCAGCACTACTTACAATAGCCAAGACATGGAAACAACCTAAATGTCCAATGACAGATGACTGGATAAAGAGGTTGTAATATATATATACCATAGACTACTACTCAGCCATAAAAAATAATAAAATAATGCCATTTGCAGCAGCATGAATGGACCTGGAGAATGCCATTCTAAGAGAAGTAAGCCAGAAAGATACAGAAAAATACCATATGAGATCGGTCATATCTGGAATCTAAAAGAAAGAAAACAAAACAAAACAAAAAAAGACAAACATCTACAGAACAGAAACAGGCACAGAGACATAGAAAGCAAACTATGATTACCAGAGGGAAGAGGGTGTGGGAAGGAATAAATTGGGAGTTCAAGATTTGCAGATACTAACTATGTATAGAATAAACAGCAAGTTTATACTGTATAGCACAGGGAAATATATTTAATATCTTATAGTAACTTATGTTGAAAAAGAATATGAAAATGATTACATGAATGTTCCTATATAACTGAAGAGTTGTGCTGTAAACAAGAAACTGATGCAACATTATAAACTGACTAGACTTCAATGAAACTATTTTTAAATAGACCACAAACAAAGAAAAAAGAAAAAAGATATTATTAAACCAAAAGAATAAATTAACGTTTCAGGCTACAACATAGATGAACCTTGAAAAAGTATGCTAAAATAAGCCAGACACAAAAGGACAAATACTGCCCTTTTAGGTGAAGTGTTTATAAGTGTTCATTGTACTACTCCTTTTCCAGAAGTTTGATGTCTGTCAAAATAAAAATAAAGTGTACTATTCATTAAAAACATAAAACGATTCCTCACAAGAGGGCTTTAAATAAGAAATGAAAAAATGCATGTAAAGCTCCTGGAACAACACTTTGCATGTCCACAGTCACTGCTGTCACTGCTACTCAGAGGGTGGTGCCAGCGCTGATGAGAGCTGCCTCCCCTCGCTCCCCTGCAGAGAGTAGTGAGGGCTTGGTCTCTGACAGGCAGGGGAACCGAGAACCTGGTTCAGACACAGCCACGTCCCCAAACTCTGCGATACCCAATTTTCTTATACAAACTGCTATATGTAACGTAAACACGCTACAGGGATGTATCTTACAACACATGGAATACAGACAATGTTTTACAATAACTATAAATGGAACATCTATTTTACACCTGAAACATATCATATTGTAAATCAGCTATATCTTTATAAAAAATTAAAAAATAATTTAAAAGCGTTATCACTTTAGTATTCAATTCGGTTTTTAAGTAACTAATAAACAGCTTAGAATGTATAAATGCATTTAAGTGTGATGTTTGTTTGCATATTTATTTACTTTCAGCCTCCTGCTAAAAGAGAAATTAAACAATTTTTTAAACACAGCTTAACAACAGTAGCAACAAAAAGGCAAAAGTGAGAGTGAAGAGAAAATGGAGATTCAATACTTACATGAAACCAGGGGGAGGTAAAGTCATAAAAACGGATGCCATGAAGTCAGGGTAAGTGTTAAACGCCAACTAGAAATTCAGCTGTAAGATTCTTGGCAGCTAAAGCAAAAAGAA